TTCTGGCTTACAGTAAGTGCTTTGTCAGGAAAAAATTTTTTGCAGCACGATGTCCTGTCTTTCAAAGCGTATTGACCTGTCTGCGGCTGAGGTGGGTGCACTGTTATGGAAGAAGGAAGGAAAACATCGCCAAAGCACACACAATATGCCGAAAATAAAAGTGGGTCAAGCGACCTTACCCCTACACCCCTGCCGAAAGTTTGCAATTCCCTAGTAAAGTTTGATAAGGAAACCTTTCCAGGTGAACAAGCAGGTGAACAAGACCAAGTCGCAAAACCAAAAATTATAGAAACATCACATGTGGCATGATTTCCAAAAAACCATGGGTAGCAGCGGGCGTGCGGCGGTCGTAAAGCTGGAAAAGCGCAAACGCTGGTATAAAGCTACCAGAAGAGATGGGACAAGGGCCTGCATGCCAAAAACCTTTTTTTAGGAATTATTGCCGGACGACAGGGACCGCAGGCAAAGGTACATGGCCCCGTACGGCCACTGATCTGTTCGCTGCCTTGGCCTGCAGTTAGGGATCTTGCGCTCAGGGCTGGCAAGCAAGAATGGAATGTCGCCAAAAAGCTGAACTTCGGGAACTTGCTACCAATAAGCCCTTGCCCACGTCAGATTGATTTGTTGCCAAAATCTTCAAGAAGAGAAATGCATTCCTCAACTCGCCATCGCCATCGCTCAAGGTTCTTCAATGGATGACGCCGGCCAGAAGTGACCGCCGCGCACCTCGCCGCCCCACTTGCACCAGTTGCCGAACTCAGGCACTGACTGCGGGAGCTGACCCTGCAGATTGAACTTGGATCTCCGGGCATGACCACTCGTACATCCCAAGCGCGGTCAGAGCTGGTGCTGAAGTCGGAGAGCACCTCCTACTCCAGCGGCAGCTCAGCTAGCTGCAAGGCGAGGGCTGAGCGGCTGCTGCAGGCAGGCTCCTTTCCACAAGCGCACAGCGCGCGGTTGTCGACTTGCTGCATGTTCTGCGAGCTTAGCGTCCATTAAGTCCAAATTTGTTTCGCCTTAAGCTGCTTAGGTTATCCCATGACTCTGCGAAGCTCAAGCAGACCAGTTGCTAACTTCCCAGGAATAATGGGAACTCGCCAGGCTGACGGCTTTTGGCGGGGCCTTCACCACCCTTCACTCCGCCGCTCGCGCCGGCATGTCACGCGCAACCGCTCGAGCTATGTCTAGGTGGTTGAGCACCACCATCAAAAGCTATCTGCAGGCATGAAGGTCCCATCTGTGAGCGCATGAGTTTTCAGAACTGCGCCTCGAGCAACCAATGATTGCGCGCTAGATACGCCATTTTGTCCTCGTTCGACGCTGCAGCTTTTGGTGGTTGCGGCTCAGCATCTGCTTCTTGTCTTCGGCCGACGGTTCACAGCTTTGCCTCGCATTTTGTCCAGGGCGGCTTTGGCACTTGCTTTGGCATCAGCTCTGGTGGACGTGCCATCCATAAGGGCGTCCACCTGTTGCACATATGCAACAGCGCCATACTCCAGAGGTTTGACATCTGCATCACCGGCTGGACGTGAAGGCTCAGTATGTTTTGCATCTTGACTACCCTGTGACAGGTTCGACGCACCGGCCTTAATCGGGGATGGATGAGAGCCTCGGGCGAAGGGTGGCTTTCTCCACCTGCACATGTAGATTGCTGCCGTCTGCGGTAGGACCTGGGGAAGACGGGGTGGGGTCAGGGCGCACAACCGGAAGGGAAACTTTCTGATGCTCAGGCGTCCCTCCAGTCACGGGATGAGATGGCGAATGTTGCTCATGTGTTTGGTTCTCGAGTCGCGACAACTTTCCTTGCAACAACTGGATTTGCCTGCGGAGGTCCTATTTTGCTGCATCAGGGGGAGGATCACAAGGAAGCATGTGGATCATAGCATCAACAACCTTGTATGCCAGAGTGTTAGAAGCTGCGGCCCGGTCCTTTGTCTCCGGTGGGGGCATCCGACCTCCTCCGCTTGACAAGTTCTCCGATGTACATTCCCTGCAAGTGCATCAAGATTGATTCCCTGATCCCGAATCTGCTGAAACAAAGCATGACAAAAGACAACTTCTGAGCTGTCACGAAATCCTGCCAGGGAACACAACTGGGAAATCATTAGTCTGGTCAGTGCAAGCGAGACCGGGCATGTGGTTCACTGGATCGATTCATGTAGTTGATTTCCACTCATGTAACTGTAACACACGAAAAGCGTTGCCTTGAAACGGAAAACCAGCATGCACATGTCTGCAGGTTCAACTTCACATGGCACCACACAAGGATGAGTGTGATTGACATGTTTGAAAACTCATCTTTTGGAAAAAGGAAAAGGGCCCGACTTTTGTTGGAGAGTGCAAGCTGCGACGACGTCACCCATGCCAAACTCCTTGCAGGTACAAAGTCAAGCGTACCTGACTCCCTCCCGCCATTGGCAATAGCTTCGTTGCGCGCAGTATGCCAATGGTGCTGCGCGCTCCTGCATTCCGAAAGAATTTTTGACATGTAGTCTCACCAATGTCCAATACAGATCACATGAATGCAGGTTTAGCGCATGTACAGCAGCGGACACAAATGTGAAGTACCCATACACGGGTTGCCACATGGTTGTGGAACCATACCTTCCACAATATTTCTGAGTGAACTCTGCGCGACCATCCGGGCGTCCCCTTCGGCGTGCCTAGTCACTACTGGATTGGCGATGCTCGCCGGCGGCATTGCTCCCCTAAGTTGAAGATAATCCCCTGCCAGGGGAGAATCACTATAGGTCGGGGGCTGGCCACAATTCAAGGTATTGCTAGCTCCAGCAAAATCACGTGGATGACCAGCAACCTGTGCTCCTGCGGCCGGCACATTAGCAGTGTGCTTCAGGCGTCCAGGGTCTCCGCCAGAGGCCCTAGAAAGAGTAACACCCTCCGGGTTTAGTACTTGCGGAGGACCCTCTGTACAAAGTATATTACTGTATAGTCTTTAAGAATGCGCAATACATGATCTCAAATCTGCGGCCGACATGGCTGCGGCGGGTACAGTAGTACT